GAGCCCTCTGCCTGGATGAACAGATCGGATGATCTTGCTTTCTTTAATCTGGATGTTGTTCATTTCAAATTCTGTCCCATTGATAAAGAAATGTGCACATTGGTTAAGTTCTTATAAAAAAACCAGACTATACCTGAATTCTCACCCATCCGTAGGAGTGAATCTAATAGGGAAGAGGTCCAGGGTGGGGGGAGGGATGGAGGAAGAGAACAGGAGAAGCTACGCTTGTGTCCAGCACTAGCCCCGGGTGTTGGAAGGGCCCTTGGGGTTCCCCTCCCTTAGTGAGTCTACGTTCTCTCCCCGTTAAGGCTCTCGATTCCCTTTCTCATCATGGTTAATGCTTGTTTGCTGGGCATCTATGCAAGTGGGCAGTGGTGTTTGCGGTGCTCCTGCCTCCCTTCCCTTGCTGTCTGAGCCAGAGGGAGAGGAAGAGGCAGGCTGCAATGGGGGGGCGGGGCGGGGTGCCCCCTGGGGCACTGAATCTGGGTTTTCATGAGAAGTCAGATCAAGCTTGCCTTGGACACCAGAGCTGCCTGTGAGGCTTCTCCACGCGGACCTGCAAAAAGAGACAGCCACAATTTCCAAGTGACCCAACTTTCAAAAAATTATTCTCAGGCTCTGCCTTTCTGAGACTGCAGGAGAAAATCAGTCGCAGCTTTGGAGAGTCGTTGCCAAACTAGACCGTTCTCTGGGAGCCGACCTGTCCGGAAGATGCTTATCCTCATCATACACAACAAGTGCCACACCAAGGCTTCAGAAGGCCCAACAAGGTGGTACCAGCATTTCCCACCATCGTGTCTTCCCACCTGATGTTTTAGGGCCTTCTTCTCCCATCCACCCCAGTGAAGCACTGCGAGTTCAAAGAATTATCTGGGGCCACTCGGGGGACATGAGAAGCGGAGGATGCAGCGACAGCCAGCAGAATGGAATCCCTGTCCTGGGACATGTTGGACCCAGGGGGCACTTCTCCAAGCCCTCTCCCAGGACACGTCTGAAATGGGCCAAGCAGACGGTTTGTTTGTGCTGCTCATCGGAAAAGAATGTTGCCTCGTTTTCCCCAGCCTCCCATGCACTTCCAGCAGATCACGCTGTCCTGCATCCATCACTGGAGACAGGAGAGGAAGACAACAAACTTCAGCTTGGCCTCACTATTCAGGGCTGTGGGTGGATTAAATGGTGAATGGTTTTTTTATTCCTATTTTAGATGCAGTGCACTTTTTTAATTTTTATTTTTTTGGTTGTTGTTATGGGTTCTGTTTTTTGGTTCGCTCTCTGTAAGCCACCCAGAGACTTTTTTAGTATCTGGGGCGGCATACAAAAACCTTAAATAAATAAAGCATCACAGTACCAGTGTACTATGACTCACTATTCCTTGTGGCTTATTGTCCGAGTCTCTTTACTAATGGCGAGAATGAATTACCAGGAGTCACAGGGAAGAATGAATCGCCTTGACCCTCAGTGTTTTTATTGGTGAATTTACTTACAACAGCATGCTCTGGGTAGTGGTTTCCCCGGCCAACTACAAGCTTTTAGAACATACACAGAGTGTTTCACAGATTCTGAGTCACATGGGCCCGGCAGCTGGGCACTTGATGACGAAATAAGGGGAACACAGTCAGAAGAAGGGGAGGGGTCTGCAGAGGGGGCTCGATACAATGGCATTTGATTGCAGGGCTGGCGTGGAAAGGATACCACAAACCAGAACTCAGAGGTTACACATACCCTGTGGCACTGCCGCTTTACCTCGCACCTTGAGTTTAGCTAGATGGCTGTCTAGAAAAAGCGCCAAGGAGAGGAAGTGGAAGATGCCAGGATGCCGGGAGGAATTCCAGCCTCTGCCCTTTTCATTGCTCTCTGAGGTGCATCAGGATATGGGCATTTGAGCGGGGGGGGGGGAGGAGGGGGATCAGGCTATTCTTTTTGCACTGGCTCAAAGAGGGGGCTCAGCGTTCAGAGCTCCCGCTCCAAGGTATCAGGATCTCAGACCTGGGATGCCAAATAATCCCCCCATGCCATCCCCACAACAGAGGGAGACCATAGGATGAGAAGGCCATGGAACTTCAGCCACTTGCAGAAGCCAAAGTAATCAAGTGGGAGCAAATGAGCCGAGGCACCAGCATGGTAACTCATTCCTGGGCAGCCTGCATTTCTGAGTAGATGCAGTAAATAAGCCCCAAGTATCAAACCATGAAATAATTAAATAAATGCACAACGCCATAAATAGTCGTAACATAAAAATAATCCATGACACGCTCTGCTTGATATTTCTGACCTCCTCTGGCTGCCTGATATGCAAAGGCGGCAGCTTTCTGTATAATGCCCCTATTTCTGTTACCAAGTGACTGTGCAAAGGTTCCTTCCCCAAATTCAGCCTGATTTGTGACTGCGCTTTCAGAATTCTTGACTTGGAGTCAGGATTTCCACGAAGGAGAGTGCACACACAGCTGGCATCTTGCCAGCTACCCAACCTAGCTGCTGATTTGTGTCTCTGGTGCGCGTTTGTTCTCAGCATTTAAATGCCTACGTCATGTTGAGAAACGGAGCCAAGCCTTATGCTGGGATCTTCAGATCAAGGAGAGCTGCTCTGGATTGCAAATTAGCTGCATGCCAAGCCTATTTGTCCTTGGGGTTGCTCTCTGCATGGTTTTGACTGTTCACAGGGAACCCCAGCAGAACTCGCCCAGTTCTAACCGTGAGAACCTTCCATGCTGCAAAATCCTGACTGAGTTTTCCAGCTTCTTTGGAAAAGAGAGCACTGAAAATGATCAGGAAAGATGGGGCTGTTTATCAAGCTTTTTCTTGGCCTTGCATGTGTGTGTAGTTATATTTCCACCCATGTGCAAACACATTTAATAAGTATACATACACAGACGATGTCTGTCTGAATGGACCAATTGTCCAGTGGAGAGAAACAATTCTTTTTTTAACTAGTATTTTTATTATGTATTTATTTATTCTATTTCTATACCACTATACTATTTCTATAATAGCCAAAGCTCTTTGGTTAGTTCACAGTGACTGAAATACAACATTATAAAATATATGTTTAAAACTACAGCATTAAGCAAAATAAAAACTACAACATAATCTTAGCAGCCATGCAGGTTGAAAATAACAGTAACATGTAAAACTGAAACAGTATTATTACAGCGCATTTATATCTCACTTTGTCCCTCTCATGAGGAACCCAAGTAGGGTGTTTAAGGATGTTTAAGGACAGGGTGGACATGCACATGGCAGGCATGTCAAGAGCAGAGCCAGCTAGAGTTGGCGCCAGACTAGATGGTCCAGGAGGCCCCTTCTGACTCGCGCTGTTTCTATGTATTTTAGTTAGCAGCGAAAAGGTGGGCGAGTAGATTACTCATTGGGCAGCATGCAAGAAATGAGCAGCAGAGAAGGAAATGGATTTCCTGATTCTTCTCCCCCATGACCTGTTGCCCCATCAGGGTCTGGGGTCACATTCCAGCTCAGTGTTATGAATAATAGTGAAAGGGGCAGCAGCAAGATGAATGCAACAGAAGGTACAGGCTAGAAGGTGTTCTGCCTGTTGCACCAGATTTGATTTATTCTAATAGGTTTTGGACAGTGTCCAGTTATGATTCCTTCCAGCCTTAAAAATCGCCATCGAAGCTTGTCTCCTCAGTTAAAGCATGCATAAAAAGAACATTTTCTTCTTCTTTTAATTGTTCTATTATTATTTATGTATGTTTTATGTATTCTTTGTGAGCCGCCCCGAGGCTTTGTTGCGATGGGGGCGGCATAGAAATGTTTTAAGTAAATAATAAATAAATTTAACAATGGCAGGATCATATAATAGAAGTCAGAGGCTTGGGACAGCTACTGATACCCTGAGAAGGAAACCATTCAGTGACTATTTGTTTCCCATTGAAGGATGTGATGAAATGTCATAAAGTTTTATCGATTTTTTTCCTTGCTGCCCAGCACCCACCCCCATTTTCATGACAGGGTTCATTTAAATTGATGGGCCACGTGCTTCCCTCCAAACTCCGCTTGCAAATAATCTGTGAGCCTCTTTATTCATTGTTGTTGGCACTGGATCTTCCACTGGTTACTCAGCCACATCCTTCAGGGCCACTTTTGATAGCAGTGAGGAAATTTCAGCATGTGCCACTCTTATTACTGTGTAAAACTGACCAAGAACATTTGGTTCCATAATCAATATTAATCTCTTATTTACTCCAGCAGATTGCAGTAGCCGCTCCATAATCGACAAACTGTGCTTTAAAAAAGGTGTAAACAATTCAAAGCAAAACCTTGCAACAATAAATACATTAAAACTTTCAAACAGTAATTTTAATTTAAAAAAGTATTTTTAGCATGCACTTGCAGACATATATAGTGGTTTGAAATTCTGCACAGACGATGTTGGGCAAGCCATGAATGCTGTTTCAATTTGCTAGCTGCATCATTATTCTCTACAAAAGCAATAGCATATTTAAGCTTATACTAACACAACGCGGGTTTTGTTTTGGGGATTTTTTTTTTTTTTTGGTGATTCCCAAGAAGTACCACCAAGCCCAGGCATGCAGGCGGAATTGCCCTCATTATCCACACCAGGCCACCCCAAGCTGGGTTTGGTGTGTTACCCCAGGGCCCCCCAACCCCCACCAGCACGCGTGCGCAGCCTGTTAGGAACTGGGCCACGCAGCAGGAGGCGAGCAGTGGGCGAGCGAGCAAAGCTCCATCCGTATTTACGGCCGCCGCCCCCGCTTTTTAGCGCCGCCCCCGAACTTTCAGGCGGCCCACGCGGGGTTCTCCGCAAGGGCACCGCGCGATCGCGCCCGCCCGCCCGCAGGCCTGCCCTTGCTCCTCCGCGCCGGCAGGGGCCGCTGCGGGCGACGCCGAGGCCTACCTGAGCCCGAGGCGGCCCTCTGCCCCAGCCCAGCCGCTCTAGCGGGAGGTGGCGCGGCAGCTCGTGCCGCCGGAGGAAGCGAGGACGGCGGCGAGGACGGAGGAGGAGAGCGGGCCGCGGCGGCGCCGTGAGGAGGCGGCAGCGGCGGCGGCGGGGCGGCCCAGCGGGGTAGGCTTCCCCGTCGCCCGCCCCTCCACGCTCGGCCCAAGCGCGCTGCGGCGGCGGCGGCGGCGGCGGGAGCAGCATGGCCGCCAGCCTCTGGATGGGAGACGTGAGTGAGGGAGGAGCGCGCCCGCCGCGGGGGCCATTCCTGGGTGGAAGCGCGGTGGGTGCTGCGGGAGGGAGAGGGGCGAAAGCGCGGGCGCGGGGGCCCGCGGCCTTGCCCTTGCCCCCCGCGCCCCCTTTTCTCCCCGCTGCCTGGCGTCGATTGGAAGCTCCTTGCAGGCAGAGACCTGCTGTTTCGCGGATTGGGGCCCCTTTCTTCAGGGCTAGAGAGTGTCCTCCTAAGTTGGCAGGTGGGTGTTGATGTTCGCTGTTAAACTTTCGTGCACTGGCAGGCACTTCATGCTGTAATAAATTGGTGAGCCGTTAAGGTTGCCCGGGAGTTCGGAAAAAAAGAAAGGTTTTGCTGCAATACCTCTCTGGAAAAATAATATTGCTCCCAATAATGTGCTTCTGCAACTTTATAAGGTGTGGTGGACACTGAAAGTACTAGTTATCGTTACTGTATTAGAAGATGTCAAGTACAGAGATGAGGATGATTAATTACTGCTACTACTGCTTGAAACTTAATAAGATGCCAAGTTTATTATTACTGCTACCACTAATTGAAACTTTTTAAGATGCCGTGGGCAGTGATGATGCAGTGCTGCTGCTACTGCTGTTGTTGCTACTATTTGAAATGTTATACAATGCTATGGGCGCTGATGGTGTCTTTTCCTACTCCTGTCCCCACCAGTATGATCATCTCGTTTGCTGTACTGCATAGGGGCAATAGAGAAGGGAAGCATGCTCCAGCCTCTGCTATTGGCCAGGGGATCAAAAGCCACTGGAAGGTCATACTCTCTACATCCAAGAAAGACCATCATACCCAGAAAAGCAGTTTGTCCACATACTGTATTCTTTTCACATGAGCAACCACCCAGCTCCCTTTTGCTTGATATTGGACCATCTTGTTTGTTTGCTTACATTGCAGCCAAGTTTGTGAAGTTGTGAGAGTTTCAAACTGCTGCAGCTTCACTTGCATTTTTTTCCTGTTCTGCTTGTGTGCAGTCATCTTGTTTTCCCCTGAGTTAGTTGCTTTAGTTTTACAAATGGCTAACAGGTATACTCATGCATGCTTGTTTGGACATTACTGTCCTGGGAAAACTATGCTCCACTTCTCAGATGAATCACCGGGCACCATCCTATGTGTTTCCCCAGCTATCATGGCTGGCTAGAGAATGCTAGGAATTGCAGCACTTTCAATGTCTAAGTATGCATCAGATTGTGCACTTAATTGGAAATTTTGTACTGTATGCCACATTATTTCCCCTCTCTTTTCTTCTTCCTCTCTAGTTGGAGCCATACATGGATGAGAACTTTATTTCAAGAGCATTTGCTACTATGGGGGAGTTGGTTCTGAGTGTGAAAATTATTCGGAATAGATTGACAGGGTATTTATTTACTGCATTATTGTACATGGTGGGGAGGGGGGACTATCTCTTTTAAATGCAAGTATGGACAGATCTGTCATTTCTGTACTTTGGGTTGGGTTATGGATTGTTTAACTGGTCAGATATTATCAAGTGACAACCTCTTGTTTGTTGCAGAAAGTTACCTTATGTAGAATCAGACCACTAACTCTATTTAGTTTAGTGCGGCCTATGCGGATTGTCAGCAGTGGTCCAGAGGTTCAGAAGGTGGGGTGCTGAAAGAATGGTAGGCAAATTTGTAGTGTCAACTCCATTGTCTCTCACTTTGCACAGATGAAACATAACTTTCTTCTCAAGTTATGAAATGTTGCTCTTTCTTCCAGGATTCCAGCAGGCTATTGCTTCGTGGAATTTGCTGATCTGGCCACTGCAGAAAAGTGTTTACATAAAATTAATGGGAAGCCCCTTCCTGGTGCCACACCTGTAAGTCAATTCCTTCATTAAGTAACCAGGGCTAGAATCCTAGGCACACACTGTCTTGGCAGTAACGCTCTTTCTACTTGGTGGGACTTATTATAGGTAAATGTACATAGGAAGGCATGCTGCACAAAAGAGAGAGAAAATGAGCTTAATGAAGTTTTTGTAAAACTCAACAGTCAGTTGGCAAGGGATGTGTTCCCAAGTAAGGCTTAGGAGTGGGGTATAAATATGCTGCTTGTCCAGCTTGTGTGCTTGCTTCTGAAGAAAAGTCAAAGCTATAGCCAGCGGTTTCTCTGCCACTCTTTTAGTTGGATGTATAATGACCCATCCTTTTTGAATTCCTTTTTAACAGCTGTGATGGTGTTATAAGCCAGAAAGACCCTAGCTTACCCTTTCCCAACCTGCCACCCTCTTAATGCGTTGAATGAGACTTCTAGCATTTCTCAAGTCAGCATCAACATCCATCAGCATTGGCTCCCTGTGTGTAATACAGGAATAATGAATACTGGCCTATGTCACAGAGCTGTTGTAAGAATGACTGCCTAAAGGAATTGTGTAAAGTGTCTTCACATGCAGAGTAGTAAAATCTGCATGTGGCTTGGTGCAAAATGTCCCAGCCCACCTCTTCACGAGGAGTGAGCTGCCAACAGCACATTGTACCAACATCTCTAACGACTCTGTCTTCAGGGTGTTGGCTTGGGCCCTGTGCACACACCTCCCCATTAGATATTTTCTGATTCTGCCAGCTTTTCGTTAGACCACGACACATTAAACAGCCATTCTCTATGGAGTATGCTGCAACCCTACCCTGTTAATCCTAGCAGGTTTAATTTTAGCAGCCTAGAAGTTGAAGTTGCTCTTGTGTGCTGTACAGCTTTTCCTAGTTTAAGTTCTCAGGTGGGGTGGAAAGCATATGGCCCTCCAGATGCAGCCTGCAACAATAATCTGCCCTAAGACAGCATCGCCAGTGCTGTGGGGGTGACAGGAGTTCAACAACATCTGGAAATCTCCATATTTTTCCATCACTGCTCTAAATATATGATGCGAGTGAGCTTCTCAGTCATTAATGTCCCTGGGATTAACGTCTAATATGTTGCCTTTCATGCAGAGGTAGATCTTTTGAGCCCCATTTCTCTGTGTTTAGTGTTTGTTAAGCCTGCTGTAGAAAAGGAAAGGCTGCCCAATCTCAGCAGGGTAAAGCTTGGTTATGTATTCAACATGTATGTTCAAAAAGTGCTGAATGTAGCACAGAAATAACATGTTAAAGGGGCAGTCCTATGCATGTTTAGCTGGAAAAAAGGCCTACAACTCCCAACATGCATCAGCCACCCATGCTGGCTAAAGCATGTTTGGGGTCTTAGGCTTGTTGTTCTGTCTGAACATACATGAGATTGTGCCTGGAGAGCCTTTTCCTGATGACATGCATTGCTTCAGAAACATGCTAGAAGGGCATACCCATTAATAATGTGTGTTTGTTCTATTTCAGACAAAGCGATTTAAATTAAACTATGCCACTTATGGAAAGCAGCCTGATAACAGGTAAGCCAAAATATGGTCAAAAGTATGGACTTTGTAATATGTTGTTTTTCTTCTATTTGCTGTAAAGGAGTCCTATTTAGTATTTTCTTTAACTCTGCTATTCTGTGTAAACAGTCTAATAAACTGAGGACTGTCCTCGGTGAATTGCCGGAAAGGGCAATGCATAGTATGTAAACAAGTAAAATTAGACTAAGCATAAAATTACCCAAGCACTCACGTCTGCCTAAAGGGGAGCTGGGAAATGTATAGCCTTCCAGATGTTGCTGGAATATAATTTCCGTCAGCCCTCACCATTGGCTGTGCAAGCTGGGCCCCAGGGAGTTGTAATTCAATATCTGGAGGATAACAGATTTCACCAGTCCTGGCCTAACATCATCTCTTTGAATCCAGCCAGATATTCTATATTATGCATTGGTCTTCAACAAATACTTGCCCTCTTAATCACCAAGTGGAAAGTCACCCATAACTGAATTTTTGTATTAAAATGCAACATTTTAATTGGATTGTAGTGAGCTCTCTTTGAGCTTTGCCAAATGACTGAGGCTGCAGTCCAAGGCATGCTCGCTGGAGTATGCTTAGAATTGTGCTATAAACTTGCAGCAGATTGCTTTTTAATATAAAGAAGGGACACTAAAGCAATGAGAGGGCTGTAATTTGGTAGCAGAACACAAAAGTCCCTTAGTTCAATTTGCAGTGTCTCCAAGCGGAAAAAATACCTGTCAGTACTGGGCCAGGTGGAAGAAAGGTCTGACCTATGTAAGGTAATCTTCCATTTTCCTATCATATTTGTGTCCTGTTTTGGCATCTCTAGACTCCAGAGAATTGATTCCAAATTTCACAGATTTTGTTAAGAGTGCAAGGTTGTTGCTCCTGAAAAAACATGGACCACAAATAGCCAGTAATTGTTGTACAGTGCATTTCAGAAAGAAGTGCCTACTTTGTGCCAATCTTGTGTATGCTGAACTCTGCATTAAAAGAGGCATTCCCATAGGTACGCAGGCAGCCTCCAGGTCACAAACAAGTTCTTTCAGAAAATGGAAATTTGTCTTTAAATCAAATTTGTATGTTAGTCAATCACATATAGTTGGCCCTCCAGATCTGTGGGGGTAAGGGGCGCAGGACCCCTGGGAGAATGGGAAAACTGCAGATTCCCCTTTCAACTCACCAGTGTCTCATCTTTCTAGCAAGGAAATGCCTGGGAGAGTTCCCTTTCTGGATGGGTGGGGTAGGAAGGCATGCTGTGGAGACCTCCCTCTCTCCCCTTTTGCTTCCCCTCTCTCTATGGTGGTGATAATTTTCTGCAGTATTTTTTTAAATTAACAGGCTGTATGGGAGTTCATTTGTAAGTACAGGTTGTTTGGAACTTGGACATTTGTAACTTGGGGACGGCCTGTACTTGTATTTCATGTCATATTGACTTCACTCCATAATTCTTTGTGTCTGATTTATGCCCACGGAGTAATCCTTCATGCATGAAAGTTTGTTACAATAATATTATTCATCTTCAAGGTACTACTACAGCCCATCATCCTATTGACCTTTGTTGCTGGGGGATGATGGGAGTTGTGGTCTAAAACACTTGGGGTGCATTGGATTGGGAAGCCTACTCTAATTATTATAGAAGATGTCCCTCTGGTTTTACTAAAACAGATTCCTTAAAGCAGACAGTAACGCATAAAAAGAATGCATAAGTTGTATTGCTGATTAAATTCATATGATTTCTATTCTCAAATTCACTCCTTGTTTTCTTCCTTTAGTCCAGAATATTCACTGTTTGTAGGAGATCTTTCCCCTGATGTAGACGATGGGATGATATATGAATTCTTTGTAAAAGTGTACCCGTCCTGTAGGGGTGGCAAAGTGGTTGTGGACCAGACAGGCGTATCCAAGTAAGCATCTTGATCCTCGCTTCTGTATTTGGTTCTGTACAAGGCAGCTTTCCACAGTCTAGTGCCCTCCAGATGTTTGCAATTCCCATAAACCCTTGATTTGGCTTGTTGGGGCTGCTGGGAGCTGTAGTCTAACTCACTTGGAGGGCCCTGGGTTGGAGAAAGTTGGTATAAGGAAAGGCAAGAGAAAGCTGCCTGAATGCAAAGCTGTTTCTTCTTTCCATAATGTAGCAAAGAGAAATGAGATCCAGAAAGGGCTTTATTTTGCTAGTTTTATAGCATCACTAAATCTATTCCTGAATATTTAAATGGGCAGGTGCTAATCCAGGGGTTTAGCGTAATACGTGTTTACGTACATTCCTAAAATATTTGTGTCTTGATATATAAGTGTTTACTTGACTTAACTCTTCAGTGCTTCATTTTGATGCATACCCTAAGAACTGTATGCTGCTGCTGCATTCAGTTGAGTGGCCTGAGAAAAACCCATGGTATTAATTCTAGGCCTTAAGCTATTTCATTCAAAGAGCATTTGTGGCTAGTGTAAGTTCCATTCATATCTTTGCTGAATTGGCAGCTTTCTCATAGGGCTGTCTCAGCATACACAGATGCAATGATATTTATATTTAACAATGTAATATGTGGTAATAGCACCACCATCTGTAGGTCCAAATGATTATTTGTAGCCCAATCCGTATTTTGGCTGAACTCAGAGACATCACTCCTTAACTCTCTAAGTGCACAAATGCTTTTAACATTAGATTTTGGGGCAGTTTTCTCTCTTCCTCCACACCAGTGGTGCAGTAGCAATTTTTTGAAGTGCAGGCCTTCGTTATGACAGTTCCCCTAGCCAACCCCCTAAAGAGATTTCAAAAAAAAAATTAGGTTGCATTGTTGATCATTATCAACTGTTCTAGCAGTTTTGCTCTCCACCAGGAAAAGATCTTCTGTAAAGCTAACAAGTCTTAAGATGCAGTCCTATGCCTGTTTGGACCAAAAAAGACCTACAACTCCCACCATCACCCAGCCAGCTGGGAGTTGCAAGCCTTTTTCTGCCTAAGCACGCATAGAAATATGCTCTTAATCACCCATTCAAGACCAAACCCCAAGGAAACAATATATTGTTATTGCAAAAATTGCTTTCTCCCCAGCTCCTGTGGGAATTGCAGTTAAGCACAGAGAGAAGAGCAGATTCTGAACGGATAGATGTGTGGGGCTGATGACCTCAGTGTCAAAGATGACACTTGTCAACAGTGTCATCACACTGGCCTCCAGGCCCTGGTTCCATGGCACCACTGGTCTCCATTCTGTTGCCGCTGCTTTCTCCACACTGAGATAGGAGCCTGCTTCAGCTTTAAAGGGCGCTCCTCGTTGGAGTACTCATCCTGAGCTCCATACAGTGTGCTGTATTCTTTGGGACTAAACCAAAGTCCTTCCTCTTAATTTTCAGACTTGGGAGGGGGCTTTATTCCAAGCCCCTGCCTGATACAAGAAGGTCAGAATTAAAATGCCTGAACAGATGGCAGCCCTCAGTTTCAAGACTTCTAGCATAGGATAGCCTGCCATCCCTCTTAGTAATTGATTCCATTGTCAAGCTGTTCTTAATTTTGAGAAGTTTCTAAAATTATTTTTAAGGGGTGGACAGCGATGTCAAACAAGTAGGAAGATGTTCGGAACGGCGAAGTCGTACTCCTGAGGTTTGGAATGGGATTGTTCACTTTTTCTTTTGCTGTCTCTTTTCTTACTCCTTGCATCTGACTGAACATTTGTCTTTTGGCAGAGGCTATGGCTTTGTGAAATTCTCAGATGAACTGGAACAGAAAAGAGCACTCGTTGAGTGCCAGGGAGCTGTTGGTCTTGGTTCTAAACCAATACGTTTGAGTGTTGCCATCCCAAAAGCGTGAGTATATTTGCAAAGGTGTGCTAAATTTAGCCATTTTGTACCCAAAGAAAACCTCACCTCTAGGAGAGAGAGTCCTGCCTTAAAGATCAGAGGTTGTCCCTTTGTACTAGGAGCCCTGAATTACTAGTGTTTCCTTGTACTTAAGAGCTGCTAAGTCAGTTCTTGGGGATCTATGATATGTTAGGATTGTCACACATCTAGAGATATCCAAATTAGTCTAGTGCACTGTGCTGTATATACAGCTGCCTAAAAGATGGGTTGGAAATTTCAGCCTGTGCAGAATGCAGGTACCTGTTAGTAGGGCTTGGGCAGTCTGAGCATTTGATACCAATATTGGATTAATTGTTGGTGCTTTTCAGACCCAATCCAAAGTGTTCATTTTGACCTTTAATGCAATAAAGAATTTGGGATTGGGTCTTCAGTAGTTTGAAGGACCAGCTATGCATCTATCAACCTGCCCATTTTAAAAGGCCCTATTTCTTGTGCTTCCTTGTGCATACAATTAGGTGGTGGGACACAAAGGGGAGAGCATGGAACTCCATCATGGAGGTTCACATGCCCCAACACTGGCAGGCTGCCATATGTCATTAAAGATGATTCTGAGGTGCTTTTTGTTGATTAGTAGCTTATGCTCACTGTTGAATGATCTGGTGCTGAATGATTGTATTTGTTTAATGACATTGTGCTGAGTTGGATATCACTCTTTAGTGCAAAAGGCCATTTTGCTGCCCTTTCATTATGGCTTAGTCTGACTGCTGTCTCTAAGGCTGCTTTTATGTTGATGGTTTTCTTTTATGTTATGTTGGAATTTTATGTTTGTTATAATACTTGCCTTGGAAAGGCTTGTCTGTAATGCTGGGAACTGACTTAGAGGCGGGATGACTAGAAGAGTTAGCAGGACATAAAAATGGGCAGAAATGGTACACATGACCATTAAGTATAATGCAGTTGTGGAGATTCTTCCTAAAGATCTGGCATAGGAATGAATTCATTACAAAAATGTTACTTAGATTTTTTTCATAAACATTCTGGAGTTTTAAAAAATTAAACTTCTTGTCTTTCTTCTCCAAGTAACCGGCTGAAGACAGTTGAGTACAATCAGATGTACAACTATAACTATAACCAGTACTACCAACAGTATCAGAATTACTATGCCCACTGGGGATATGATCAGAATACAGGCAGTTACAGCTACAGCTATCCACAGTATGGATACACGCAAAGTACCATGCAGGTAAGGGCAGAGCAAAGCAGATTTGCGGTCTTGCTAGACTTTATGTCAAGAGATCCTTAGTCACAATCATAAACACATTCACTAAGGAATAAGTCCTTTTGAATACAATGGGACGCCTGAGTAAACATGCATAGAATTCACCTGTAAGAGTTACAAATGGGGAGGAAACCGTTTTCATTGGGATAGCCATGTTAGTCTCTTACAAGACAGGGTTTCTCTTCATTTGACTTCTTTGTCCCATGTCAAAGCAAAACTAGTTTTCCTCTAATAAGCTCACCAATTTATGTTTTTGAATAGTTCTCACACCTAAAGTTTATTCTTTGTAGAACCATAAATTAGTGTAGTGCAATACCATGCAGATTTGCATGCAGTCAAAATTGTCTTATAACAATTGTGTGACCTGTAGAATATTTCCTGGAAATATAGGTTGATGTGTCCTCAACTCTTTGTGTTCACCCCCTGGCAATAGCTCTCTGCTGGTAATTATAGTGATGGAAAGTTCGTTCTTTCGGTTTACACCACTCTTTTCCATAACTAGCTGCCCAAGTTGGCCAATAATAGTGACATATTATCAGAAGTAGTATAATACGCCATCAGAAGAGAAGATGGGAAACATTTGCTGCTTTGTTTAAACTTACTGTGGTTTTTCATTATATTTAGGCTGAGCTAAACTGTGGTTGATTTTAGGCAAAACATAATATAGCCTGGTTTGGATTTAACAACAAACCATAGTTAATTTAAGCAAGGAAGCGGGGTGGATACAATCTCCTCCTGGCATGGTCCAAATTAAAACGGGAAGTTTTTAAGATAGGCCCCAAACAGGGCAGCACACTAGAAACAGCAACCAATAACAATGAACAGTAAGAAAAGATAATTGCCTTGGTAGAATGAAGACCTGACTAATCCAACAGGTTTTTAGCTGCCCACGGAAGACCATCAGGGGGACTAAAGCAGGTCCCTTAGCTTGTATGCCTATGATGCATTAATTATAAAAAAGAAACATCTTCTGATTCCCTTCCCATTTGTAATTCTCAATTTTGCAGACATATGAAGAAGTTGGAGAAGATGCACTAGAAGGTAAGTTTGCCTGTTGTGACTTTGTATTAGAAATAGCCACTTGTATTTATTTGCTGATCCTAAAGTACCCCAGTCAGGAGAGGTCCTAGAGCAGTAACTGGCTCTGGGAATGCAAGGGCTTAAGGTGCTCAGGGATCCCTATGAGGCAACCTATCTATTATGCTAGGTGTGGTTCACCTTACTACTGAATTTTGGTCTGTGCTTCTGCCCCTTATATATATTGTTCTGACAGCTGTAACCATACTTTCTGTGTGTAAACTATGTTACCAGGTGATAGAACAAGCCATGTTCTTCAACAACAGTTTAAAATTTATTTAGATCCTGGCTTGTTTTGTGGCTAAAAACTATAGTTTCCCAGCTTGCACAAAACAGGAAACCCTAGTTAAGAGATTTTCTGGTTTTAACTGGGACTTGCACTGGGGAACTGCATGTGTGAGCAAAATGTTTTTTTCTGTCGGGGCAGGTTAAGCTGAAACTCACTCATACAGGCTTCCTTTCTTTTTCAGACCCCATGCCCCAGATGGATGTGAGTGAAGCCAACAAGCAGTTTATGGAACAGAGTGAAGAACTCTACGACGCCTTGATAGAATGTCACTGGCAGCCTTTGGACAGTGTCTCTTCAGAGATTCAAGCCATGTAATTGCCTTGTTGCTCAAGCACCATCTCCAAGCAACATGCCAGCGTGCCCTGGACTCCTGCCAAGCACATGGATCCTGCCGCTGCGAGTGGCTTGCCCTGCTCCTTTCCTCCGAATTCTTAATTCCAGAATACAGGGGAGAACTTGCCAGACTTTCTGTATGCACTGAGGAGCAGAAGAACTTTGTGGTCACTTTTATTTGTGACAAAACTAAAACCCAGACACTTAAATTTTTTTCTTTGCCGCCCCCCCCTCCCCCCACACACACTTTTTTGGTCCTGGGACAGATTGTTCATCCTTGTCAAGGAATTGTAATTTATAAACTTTTAAAAAAAAGATGGTGTGGTAGGGAAAGTTTTACTTCCATGTACAATAAAAGAATATCTTTTACACAGTAGGCAGGATATTGGTATTCTCCATGGTTTAAATGGCAATATAAGTTGCCAGAGAAGATTCATGGAAATGTCCCAAGATCATCATTTGGAAGTACTGCCATAGAAGGGACCAAGTCTTCTACAATTGAGGGAAGGGCGTGTTTCAGCAGAGCTTCTGGTTTATTTTCAGAGTGGGTAGAAACCAGGTTTAATCATCTTGCTTGTTTGTCAGAAGCATATCCCCTTAGGCTGGTGGGACGGACCTAAATGGATCATATCACGTAAGTGGCAGGAGGAGAAAAATGTGGGGGTTTGGACTACCATGGCTACTTTTGCAAGCAGGCATTTCTGCTATCTCAAGCTAGGTCTGTCAAGGGGGAAAAAACCTGGTTGAAACCCTGGAGAGCTGCTACTTGTTAGCATCATGTTGTTGTTAGTCACAAAGTCATGTCTGACCCATCGCGACTCCATGGACAACATTCCTCCAGGCCTTCCTGTCCTCCACCATCCCCCGGAGTCCACCCAAGCTCACACCAACTGCTTCAGTGGCTCCATCCAGCCACCTCATTCTCTGCCATCCCCTTCTTTTGCATCTAGAGGAATTCACAGACCAACTCACAATATAGCAGCTTCCTCTGCTCCTATGACATGGAATTAAAAACCTCAAGCGGAGGGAGTGGGAGCAACCTGCTTGGAAGATATGAGTGGTAGTTGGCAACGGGGCAGAAAAAAGAACATCGTATCATAAAATCAGAGTATTTCCTCATTGTACCATTCAAGTTATTGGAAGATAGTACTGTCTCCATAGAGTGTGTATTTTGCATGCATAAGGCATGAGCTTCAATCCCAGCCTTCTTCAGTTAAAACAGGGCTGACCCACCTGATTCCCAACCAGTCTAGCTAATGGCCGCATCTGGAGGGCTGCAGGTTTCCTAGTACTGGGTTAGAATAAGTAGGTGATGGCAAAAGTCTATATGAATACCTTGGATATCTACTGCCAGTCAGTGCTGGAAATATTAAGATGGACCAATGATTTGACTATGTTAATATCCTGTGTTCCTCATCACTGAACAGTGCAAAATAATTTTTAAAAGCGAGAGCCTCTTGTGGTTCTCAAATGTTTTGGACTACAGTTCCCATCAGGTTTCACCATTGGCTAGACTTGCTAAGGCAGCTGGGAGTTCTAGCTTGCCAGCTATTTAGGCCTACAACTTGTCCACCCTTAAAAAAACAAGCTATGGGCCCAAGTTCTTTGAACTTCTAACCTGATGCCAACAGCTTTGCTGGATGCGAATGACGAAAGTTTCAGTCCAACACATTTGGAAGCACATCCACTTGGGGAAAGGTGATTTAAGCTCCTCCTCTCCTGGCAAAATATATTTCCTGGCCTAACTTTTTGCACCCCACTCTTGATTTTCTTCTGACAGTGGTGGAGAAGACAACCACACTAAGAAGGGACTGGGGAAAAAAACTACATTTCCCAAGAGCCTTTTCAACGCTCCTTTTTTAAAGGAGCCAATAGGCGGCAGTGTTAGCAGAAAGAGTGTATAAAAGGCCGGGCCAGGAGGTCTGTCTTTCTTCTTTCAATTGGGTTGCTGGATGGGAAAAGGTAGGTAGCTACTTGCATGGGCGAGATGCGGACAATCCGTCGGCATCCGCTTTTCTTCTCGAACTAATTCCTGTTCTGACTCTCACTATAGCCCCTTGAGAGCCCCCGTTTCCCGTTTAGGAGAGAATTGCAAGCAAGCGGGGATCGATGTCCTCCGTGGGGCTGCAGCAAGGGCCGATCCATGCAACCGGGCTCCTGCATTGGAGATCGGGGAGGGGGGGGTGCTTCGGAGGTAGGGCCAGAGCCTGACTTTAAAGTCCTGACTTTAAATGTGAGTTCAGCAGCAACGTCTTACTTTCTTACTCTGGAGAAGGCGCGGGGTTTTCAGACCAGATTTTATAAGCCACGCACGCGCTCGAGTCTTGATCGCAATCAGGGGCTTTGCGTCTGCTCGAGAGTAAAAATGATGCGGGGGAGGGTATAGCTGCTATTCATGGACTAAGATTCGTTGTCCGTAGCAAAGTAATCGCGTAAATATTATACATGCAAATATTATAAATTGCAACACCATAGTTTAATAAATACGTAATTAGTAAGACTCTAGATTGCCTCCACGTGCACATGGCTTAGATAAGTCTAAAGGTGGCTCGGTAGCCCACAGTTTGATGCTGCCAGCCCACTCGAAAATGAGAGGAGGGGTCTTAAAATAGCAGCTATTTTCAGAGACAAACTCTTTTAAAAGCATGTCCCCCAGTCGCAAGGCTTCTGCATTCTGTTTTCCTGCTGTGGTTTATTGGGAGCTTTCTGCTGCTTGGAAAGCTTTTCAGTTTTCCCACTCCATGCTTTAATAACCAGAGGTGTCTCCCTCCTCCTGTGCTCAGTATTGCCTGCTGGGATTGGCATTAGCTCTCTCCCAACTCCCATCACTTCTTCTTATGCTGACTTAGGCTGGTGGAAGGTGCCCAGTTTGGAAGGTGCCAGGGTGCCCACTGCTGCTCTGGGTCGTTGGACAAAGGACTTCCCCATTACCAGTTCACTGATATTTCATGCTGGGGATGCGAGATCAGCCAGGTGATGGCTGCAGTGTGCCTTCAGAATGCCCGTAACAAACCAGGGGCCCTCTGGACGCAGCTTTCACATCCATGGAAACTTGTTTGTAAGGCACCATGTTAGTGGAGGAAGTTTCAGACCATAGTTGACTGGGGAGACCAGGTGTTGCCGTTGTGGTGCTTCTGCGGGGAAACCAAGTTAGGGAACACAGTATTCATACAGACACTTTCTCTCAAAATTCTCATAAAGCAGCCTAAATCCGCATCACTTTTCCATCCAGGCCTGGTACTATAGCATCTTGATAGCTTGTCTTCTTTTCTGTCTCCACTTCTCACTCTTCAATTTGCTGTTATTTTTTGCGACTGGATGTAATGTAACAAAAGCATGGTTTTACTGTAGCAAATTATTCTTGTGGCCAAGAAGTGTGGTTTTTACCACTGTAAAAACAAACAAAAACTCCCTAAAGCTTAAAATGTGTTTGGCCGCGTCTTGAGCTGAAGGCTGATCAGTAATTTCAGAGCAAGGGAGGAGGAGGAGTGGCCTTGTAGCAGATTCTGCAGTTGGACATGTTAGAAACTGATATTCAGGGATTAAACAAATAATCATTTAACTTTTTGTGGTCCAGCACAGTGCAAAGAAAGCTGAGGGTATTAGCTGCAGGCTTGCATGCCCTGGCATTTCGAAGCAGGACTGCAAAAATATGTCTGAAGCCTTGGAGTGCACTCTCAGTCAGAGCACAAACAGTTATGAGCCTGGGTGGAGCAGCTGTTTGGCTTCCTCTGTTGTGTTGTGTAGTGTAGACAATCAGGTGTGGAGCACAAGTCCTGACCATTACCCATGCTGGCTAGGGGTGATGGGAGTTTGAGGGCAGTAAGTTGCTCTGTCCTTCGTAGCAATTCCAGGTAAGAGTCTTTTCCCAGCCTGACCTGGAGATGCAGCCTGGGACCTTCTGCATGAAAACAAGTGTTCTGTATCATTGAGCAGTAGCCCTTGGGTTTCCTTCCATGATGCTGGCATCCCCCGCTTCAGGGACCGGAGAGGGTTTGGAAGCGAATTCTGCCTTTGGCAGATGTTCTCAGTCATTGGATGACTAACCCAGTTGCTTTTCTAGCACCGGTTGCCTGTAATAGTGACCTTGTGTTCCTTCTGTTTCAGCCATGAATGCCGCTTACTGGAGCAGAGCCCCAAAATGGCTTGTGAAATTGCAGGTTGGCTCTCTTGCCTTACTCCAGTGGGACCAGAACAGGTACTGTAGCATTACTGGGCTGGGCTACTCCTGGGGGAATCAGAGAGGCTCATGGTTGCTGGTTTTAAATGATTCATTGGGGCACTGGGAGGGATTGCAAGGCCAAACCCATTGCAGGCCACAGTAGAAAAGGGGCGTTTGGGGTGGATACAGACATGGTTCTAGAACTTCTGAAGCCGGTGGGGAAAAGGCCTGTCTAGTAGAAGTTCAACTGATGTCAGTGGGCTTGCTCTTCAGTATGACAACCTGGTTCCAGCCATTTAGATGCAAGGGGAAGTTTGGCTGAAGCCACCCTACTTTGGACAGCAGTATTTGGGTGTGGCTTTGTATTCAAAGAATCTTGTACTGGAAGAAAGGAGATGAATGTGTTCCAGCTTTCCCATCCTACTCCCAAAATAGGAATTTATACTGCTTCCCTTCCCAGCTTGTGGCTTGTTTCTTTCTTGTCCTTTTTGCCAGCTTTTACGGGGCTTTGTTTTCCGGATTCTCTTGCTGGCTCCCATTTGTTTCAGGACAGCAGCACAAACAAGCCAGGGATAAGCCATGGTTCTGAGTTCAGACATGACGAGCTAGTTTTCTTGTCAACAAGATAGCATGACTTCTATTTGTGTTTCATAGCTGGTGAAGAAACTGAGTTGTTTGCAGGATGTTTATAAAAAGAGTTCTGTCCTTTGAATGCATGGCAGCTTCCATTTAAAATGACTGTCCTGCTAGTGAGGAGGAGATTTCCACAAAATAATTGGAAAGGAAATGCATAGGTTCTTTTTTCTTTGCAGGTGACCTGAGCAATGGTGAAATGTCCTGATGGTGTGCTTTAAACAGAGGTATGCCGCCTTGTGTAATCATACAAATGTTAATCATTATCCCCATTGCAACTCATCTGTTGAGTTTTCTCCTCCCTGTGGCTTGTGTCAGTGCCTGCTGCAGAGTTCCCTGATTTACCAGGCTTGCTTGTGGAGCAGTGGCGTCATGCAAGAATGTCGCTGCTCCCATCCTGGACAAGACTGGGGGACTCAACCAGCCTCTCTTGGGGATATTTGCCTTTGAAAGCCCCTGGTGGCCCTATCGAAGCTGTGCCTGTCTCTCCTGTGGCAGGTGTAGTCAAAAAGGTGCCCACAGTAACTTTTCCCTTGACGGTCGCTGTTCAGATTGTCCTGTAACTGTCCAGCAACATTTTCAGGAAAATACATATTTTTCCATGAAACCTGGAGGCAGAGGAATTGGTTTTCAGTTACAGAAGAACATTCTGCATTTTCTAGTGATGTAATATTGGGCCATGGGCTGGGGAGAGTCATTCCCAGGTCATGCATAAAAGCCTCGCTGTGGACTATTGGCCTAGGCTGTATTTCTTAGCCTAACATACCTCACAATGTGGTTTTGAGGGTATCAAAGTGGGGGAAGAGCCATGTATGCTACACTATTGGAGGAAAGGTGTGATTAAAATGTTGAAACCAAGGTAATTCTTGTCTGTTCTCAATCTGTGTACAGCCAAAAGAAATTCCTAATGGTCCATGGTCCTCTGCAATAGGGAAATGGGTCAAACCTATATGGGGAAGAATATGTCTGACTTCAAGAAATGTGGGGCTGGCAAGAATGTTTTGGTACCGTTTCCCTCTCATGTTTTTTCTCCCAATTCCTTTTCAAGGAACAAGAAAACGAAATGGAGTTGGATGTTTGTCTTCACATGGAGATCTGTAGAAGTATGTTTGGAAGACAGGTGAGAGATGTTGCAGATCAGGTCTTGAGAATTCTTCTCTGTAGCTGGAAGAGAAGCTTCACAGCACTGTGCCTTTAGTGTCTACGCCAACTTAGCCCATGTCTTTAACAGGCCAGTGGGCTGCATGTTAAACCAAGAGCTATGGCTTGGCAAATAGCCACAGAATCTCCAACAACATGCAAGAACAAGATGGGAGGGACTTTGACATCTCAGGCTTTTGTCAGCTATGGATGTCACTCTACCCTCCGACACACAGCTGCCTTCTGGAAGGCATCTGTCCATAGACGCAAGTAATTGGACGGCATACAAATTTTATAAACAAACAAACTTATCTGTAGATCTTTCAAGTCCTGTTTTCTTTATACCTTTTGTGAGTTCTTACAGGAAGCTTTGTCTCTGGGAACTTGCAAAATAGTGGTACCTCCTGTGTAGCACTATAATAGAGTCCCAAAGTAGCCTGAAACCATGAAGACTTGAAAGTTGGTTTGTTCAAAGTGACATTGTCTTGAGTTCTTAATAGCTTGCAAAAGCATAAGATGCAAGCAATCTTATGTTCAATATGATAAGGCAAACTCAGTGTTTTAATCCTGGTATGTTTCACATTTTTTCAATATTTGATTTTTTTTCCCCCTGAATTGCCAGGTGTCATCCAGAGACTTCAGTACTGGAATGGAGCCCTTATCGTATTACACCTGAGAAGGCTAGTTGCTGATCCCACCAAAGGTACCATAAGGTTATCTGTCATTACATGTACTGTTCGTATAAGATGCAAAGAAGATGTAGAATCAAGGATTGTAGCTGCTGGTACCCTCCCTATCCCTTTCCCATCAGATCTGAATACTGATCTTATGGTCAAGAAGGAGGAAAAGTAAAATGGAAGCCAGCCCTTGCATCTTTGCTGGGGAATATCCTGCACTGAACTGGGCTGTCTTGAAACAGTTTGTCTGAACCCTAAGAGACCGAAACGGTTTGTTATATATTTATCTTGCCTTCCTGTCCTGGGAGGTGGGTCAGGATAAGGCTCTGTGACTGGCCGAGAGTCACCCAGTGAGCCTAATGGCAGAGTGGGAATAGAACCTGGATTTTCATCCTCCTAGTCCAGCACTTCCAACAGCTACACAACTAGTGTCTGTGGTCTTTCCTCATCTCCATCTGTCTGCAAGACTCCTGCAAGGTAGGCCAAGTTGAGACCAAGTGACTGGACTAAGGTACCTGCCAGGAGTTTTCCGACAGAATGGAGAGCTGAATCCAGGTCTCCCTGCTCCAAATCCCCACTATGGAGTGAGCTTGCTAAAGAGGTTTGCCTGGTGCCTATTCTACTCTCTCAGTGCCAAGTAAAACCCTTTCTATTTTCTCAGTATGTTAACTGTTAACTTTGGTTTTAATACTGCATTTTATCCTGTACTGCTGTTACACACGTTCAGTTAACAAGTCCTGTGGCTTTATTGTCTTAGGTTATTTTTTGTTTGTTTGCGTGTTTAACGTTTGTTAAACTCACAGAGAGTCAAGGTAAAATGGAGCACTTAGATATAAAAACTCTGGCTGGGTGGGAGGCAGGGATAGGATGAAAGTAGGGGTGAGTGGGCATTTGTTATAATTTTTCCGGATTTAGGACAGATTTTGTTTAATTCCTATCTTAGATGAGTGGCAGTGTTTGATGAGCTTCCATTCTTCTTTGTCCAAGAAGAAGAAGAAGACTGGACAGTTGTAGGGACAACCTCTTCAGGTAAGGCCCTACTCCCAATGGCAGGAGGAGGAGTGTGAATACTCCTCATAGATCTGTGTTGATCAACAGGAAGTCGACAGCCATTTCACGGTCAGCTTTGCTTGTTCTGGGAAGTGTACTGTGGGGGGAGTAGCACAGTACCACATCTGTATGGTCAATGATGACTCATGTTTCTCATGGTGACGGCTGGATGAATCCTGCGGATATGGGGCTGAGACCAAGCAGATAACACAAGTCGAAGTCGTGCTTCCAAAGGCTGGTTTTGCTCCCTGCCCATTGCGAATGGATAGTGTTACGCATGCACAAGAGGAGTTACTGGTGGGCTGCAGATAGTGACACCTGTGGTTGACTTGGCACAGAAGCATTTCCAGCTTTTCCTTTTGAGCCAGGGCATTCCCTGTAACGATGGGAACATTAACAGGAGCAGGGAGACTTCCTCCCATCCGTCTGGGAGGCCAGGGATGGGAGAACGTGGCCTTCTAAATGTTGTTTCCAGCAACCCTCACCATTGGCTATGCTGGCTAGGGCTGATGGGAATCGCAGCCCAGTGCTATCTAGAGGTCCCCCTGTTCCCACCCTTACAGTAGGCACTGCCAGCTCTCATTCAGATTGGTTTTTGCAGGATGGATAAATTTGCTTATTTGACTTGCATGCTACCTGGGCATTCTAAACTGTATTTTCTGAGCATTAGAAGAAAAAAATCAAGTAGTCCCCAGATCAATAAAATCTGTCTTACTTTTAGGCCTGCAGAATTGCCTTGCATTTGTCAAAGTGTTGAAGAAAGAGTCACTGGCAAAGAAGTTCCTGAGATTGGTCAGCATTACTGAGCCATTATTGAAATGGATATGTTTTGTAATAGTGTGGAATTAAAGGACTTTTGTGAGAAGTCTTCAGAATACTTATTTCCCCTCTTGTGCAAGGCATGCCTTTACGCAGTGTTTGTGTCCTGCCATCGATGGTTAATGTGTCAGTCCAAACAGCGTCTGAATTTTCTCCTATTCCAAAGTTTCTTGGAGTAGCCCCATTGCCTGGAGCCATACGTGCTGCTGGATTGCCACCATGCCAACAAGGGCCCTCAAATCACTATGTGGCGGTAGGCTGTATTTATGTGTTACCTGGATCCGTGGAGGGTCTCCAGATGAAAGACCCTAGCCAGGTCTTCCACAGAATGCCATTTCACATACTCTGGGGGTCTGCCTCAGGGAACGAGGCTGGTTTACGTGGTCAAGGGATCCAATTCAAAGCCAAAATCCTCCTTCCACACATACAGATCTTCGCCTTTAGAGGCTTGCCACCAAAGTGCTTCATGAGCTCTCTGTCAAGTTGCCTGCCAGATATGGCTTGGATGGCTTGCAGCAGTTGCAGGGGAGGCAGAAGGGCAACGAGAAGGCCAAGCTTGTGATCATGGTGTGCGTTCTGTCATCTTCCCTAAGCAGAGGGAACAAAAGGCTCTGAAAGAACCCTGCTTAAGTGAGGGAAATGTTGCTCCTGGTCTTCCCTGGGAATGATGGGAGAGTTTATAATACATTGCATAGACAGTTTCTATCCTTGATGCATCCGCTAAATTCTGTAAAGATTGCATTTTAAGACAACAGCCCCATCCAAATTTAGATGGAAAAACCTATGAGTAGGAGTGCGCTGCCATCCCAAGTTAAAGCTGCTGTCTCATGCACTCATTATACATCCTGTTTTGAAAAGAGGCATCCTAGTACTCTAGGTTGGCATGTTTGCTTGATTTCCAAGTAAAAACATCCACATTCACTACAGGCCTCTCCACAAATCCCACTGGGCATGAGCATCTTAAACATGCATTTAAAAAGTTGCTTTTAGGGGTTTGACCAAGGCAATACTGCCTCCTTGTGGTTTTGTAGTTCCTGGTCTCCTTCAGAGTTAAACCTGTACATGTATAAATTGTAGCAAGAAAAACCAGAGTCTTGGGGATGTACAAGCAAAAGAACATTTACAGTTTATGCAGACATACAGATATACATGCAGCATGTAGGTAGCTTTCCAAAGGGAGTACCAAGATGGGAGTCAGTACAAGATAACCTATCAGTTACAAGTTTGGGGAGGGTGGGGGATCATGTAGGCAGTTTGCTAGAGGCACATGAAAGTAACAAAGGGTTGAATGGATTACTGCAACACACACTTTCAGGACAGTCATACCTTAGCATCTCTAAAGTGAGGCAAACCTTAGCATATCTAAGGTGTAAGCAGGGAGCAAGATCAGGAAACCCCTCTTAGGTCTAAAGCTGTTCTTACACTGTCAGGCTTTCAGCAGCCATATTATGCATTTGTTAATTTTCTTCCAATTGTTATGGCTATCCTTGTGTAATTAGCAATGACAGCCATATGTATGGTTATTCAAATGTACATACCACTGAGGAGGGAAGGGGGAGCTGAAGAGGGCTGCCAAGGATAACACAATTTGGAGGGCATTCACTCACAGGGTTGCCATAAGCTGGAGACAACTTGATGGCACATAACAAGAGATATATACACACAGACATAAATTTTCTTAGCAGCATCTGGGCTTGCTGCAAAGTAAGTTTGTGTTGGTGCTGAAAACTGGGTTCAAAGTAGCTTTTTAGTGTGTAGGGTCTGTGACTTGGCCTTGAACCTTTGGGCAGATTACTCATCTTTGGTTCTACTGCTACAGTATCTCTTTTGTGATGGTGTTCTAGATAGTCACTAAATGCATTCATAGCCATCCCTACTTAGCATCTAACTAAATGAAGAATTCTGGAGAATTCCCAATTTGCTCATTATTTTGTTAAACTTTGTTATTGCCCCATCATAAATTTTCATTCTAGCCAGTCATCATCTCGGGTTGTTTCTGAAAGCCTACATATAAATTCAGTTGATTGCCTTCTGTGGAGTTGAGTTGCCTCCTGTGGATCAAGACTTTAACATAATTAACTCCCATTGTAGTCTATGCAGGTTTACTGAGAAGTAATTCCAAATGTATTTTGTGATGCTTGTTCCCTGGTACGGCAGCCTCAAAACATTCTAAATAATTAGCAATGCATCCCTTTGATTTTAGAGGTTTTGCTGTACAAAACTTGCTCAGCTTTTTATATTTTCTTTTTATTTGTACAAAGGTTCCAGTACTTACTGAACAGAGGGGCAATCCAAAAATATTCTAAACAAACTGAAGCTCCTACCACAGTAGTCAATGTACACCATTTGCTGGACAACATGTCAAGAGTCCTGCTGTAATCCTGTCCTGCACATGGGATCCTGAGGGCAACTGCTTGGCTACCCATGGGAACAAAACCCTAGACTACACAGACCCCAGTTCTGATCCAGCATGACTCCTCTTATGTTCTCGTGTGGGCTTGAGCTAGCAATTTCTTATTTCTTTTGTCAGGACAAACCAAGCAAAAGCTTTGCCATAACATGGCTGCTAAAAGAACGGTTTTAGGCTTAAGATGGGATTCTTGATCTGGTCAGGAATCCATATTATTTACTATTGTATTTATATGCTGCCACATACCCTGAAGGGCTCTCTGGATGACTTAACAATAAAAACAACAAATAAAAGAATAAAATCGATTAAAACAAAACAGCATCTGGCACTCAAGGTGAAGAAGGTCACAGCAAAGCACTCATCGATTAAAATTAAAGCACTGTTAACACAGTGTTAAAAACCAGTGTAGCTACTAAGACACATGTTGCTGCTGTTGTTTTTAAAAGTCTTTGCCTGGTGCAGGAAAGAGAGGAGTGAGGGCACCAGGCACACCGGCTTGGCGAGCGTATCCTGCGAGCGGGGCGCAACCTCCGGGAAGGCCCTTCTCACCATTGCTCCCCTCACTTGGTTGGGGGCTGGTTCTCAGAGAAGGACCTCCGTGGAAGATCTTGATGACTCTGTGAGGATATATGGAGGCAGGCATTATCTCAGATGTGTTGGCCCCAGGCCAGGATGTTACAAGCCTTGCTTCCCACCTAGCCTTAGACATGCGGATGCCGGCCTTTCCTGAAGGTTCTTTCTGCATGGTGTTGTCCGAACCACATTCAGTTAGTTATTTTGTGTCTGATCTTTCCTCCGAGACACTCAAGGCAACCTCCAGGCTTACCTTTCACAACATCCCTGCGAAGTAGGCCGACATTGGGGCGCCGGCGGGGAGAGAAAGACACAGCGCGGCGTAGCCCCGCCTCCTTGTTTGGCTCGCTGCCCTCGTTGCTCCGGAAGTGGGTCGCCTGTATCCAGGAAGTGACGTCGCCTCGAGACCTCCCCTTCCCTTCCTCCCGGTGATGGAGGAAGAGGAGGCCGAGGTGGGGAAGATGAAGCAGTTCCACGGCGGGATCGCGGTGGGGGTTGGCGGCGGGGCCGGCGGGGCCGGCGGGGCCGGGCTGGATCCTGAGCGCGGCCGCTTCCCTTACTGCGTCGTGTGGACGCCCATCCCCGTGCTCACGTGAGTGCTTCGCCCTGTGCCTGGGACGGACGGGGGGGGAGGGAGACCGTCCTGCCGGGCAGCCCCTCAGGTGGCTGCCTTCGGAGCGCTCCCTGCGCAGGTAATGCGCTTGTCGTGTCAGTTTCGTCGGGGCAGAGACCGGAGCGAGTGCATGGAATGAAAGTTAGAAGGCGGGCAGAGCAGGATGCACGTTCTTCCTCAGCCCGGGAGCGCATGAAGCGCCCCCTTTCCTTCCTCCCCCCCACTCCGCCGCGCACATTTAGCTCGACCTGTACAGCTGTGCGGGGTTGCCACCGGCATGAACGGGGGGGGTAGAGACTGTGCGTACTAGCCCCTCCCGCCCTTGTTCCTGCTAGATGTGTTGGACAGCAGCTCCCATCATCCCCAGCCAAGCACCGCCTGTGCTGGCTGGGAATGATGAGAGAGACAATGCAACACATTCAGAAGGCACCCCATGGGGAAGTCTGGTGTATATGCTCCTCGAATCCTCTTTCTCAGACTAGTCTACCTTACAGGAATGTTAGGGAGATGGAGGCTGTGCAAGTGTAGAAGGGCTGTGGCTGAGTTTAGGCGACACAGTTACCCATATTCAAGCGTTGTTTATGGGTTGAGTGTAATGGAGGCAGGTGCCTTCAGTGTCAGTGGGCAGTGTATGCATTCAAGGGTTTGAGTGTGAACTCTTAAGGAGCTGTCCGTGCCCTAAAATAGGTTCTGCACAAGTGTTGAAGGAAAAAAGCTTCCATCTCTCTTGCAATTTATGAAGGTTTTTCTTCATTTGGCTGCCTGGAAGGGATTCTTGCTTGCTACAAATGGCTGGAAAACTTAAGCATATGCTATTCTAATAGATTGTAACCATGGTATGTGAATCAGAAGGAGACCACATGAAAAAGTAAAACTCTGTGAACATTTCTGCCATGTGTGATTTGTGCTTGGGAGAGCCCTGCTGATGTGTATGGGCACTCTCTCTTCCTGTCACTTACCAATTATTGTTCCGTTAAGCCCAGTCTGGCTCTGGGCTGGCCATTCTCTACAGCCTTCAGGAAACAACTTTTGTAGTCAGCGAGACAAACACAGGGCCCTTGAATGCTCTTTTTTTTTCTGCAGTTGGCTGTTCCCCATTATTGGTCACATGGGTATTTGTACCTCGACTGGAGTCATCCGGGACTTTGCAGGGCCTTACTATGTCTCTGTAAGTAGAAGCTTGTTCCTGTAGGATGCACCATGGATGGGGAATGTCCAGTCTGGATGTGGCCTGCAAGAACTCTCTGACCAGCTCATTAACTGATTGTCCCCTAGAGCAATTAGGCTTGGGGAAAAAAGCCTCCTACTGGAACCAGTGGGTGGCTCATTTATTTATTGTTGCATTGCATTGGTGGACAGAAACATCTTGGTGTATGAAAGTTTAGGACAGTGAAGTTTGCGAGTGGTTCTGGCCCTGTCCACTGTTAGCAAACAGCCTCTCAAAAAACTACCCATGAGGGAGAAAGCAGCCCATGGGGAGAAACATGTTTTCCTTGCCCTGCTGTACAAGCCTTGTTGGCAGTTATACTTTTTAACAGGGGTTGTCTTGGGATTGAACAAGGTTCTGCAGTAACTCCTACTGGGATTGAACAAGGGCTGGAGGTTCTGCAGTAACTCACTTCCATGTGGGCTAAAGTACAGAATGGCTCTTTAACCTTCTTCACAACATGAATTGCTTTTGAAAATCCATTCTCTTAATCTGTACCTGAGCTTCTCCATCCCTTTGCTCTTCAGTGTTCAAAAAAATATTTCCTGCAGATGCTTTGATACCAGCAGCAGAATGTCCTAAAAAAGTGCACCAAAGCTCTTACCAAACCTTCTCCATCCTAGAACCTCTAGGTAGCTTGGACTGAAACTGCCATCATAATCCACATGGTAGCGGGTTCATGTGAATGGTATTTTCAATACATTTACAGGGCATCAGGTGAGGGAAAGGTGAAGATGAACCCATGGTGAAATTCTCAGCCCACTGGAGAGGAGGCAGCATGAAGCTGGGCTGCTTCCTCTGCTTAAGACCTTTGAACTCCAAGTATTGTGATGGATGGTATAAATAGCTTTGTTTTCTGATGCTCATTAACTGAAATATGCTTTATATTTCCACTTCTATGCCCATGCCCTCTAGGAAGACAACATGGCTTTTGGGAAGCCTGTGAAGTAAGTATTACTATGTGTGTGCTATGCTGTAATTTATTAAACTGCCTAAATATTCAGGTTACAGCAGACAGGTAGGGCCTGCACTTCCTAACTGGGAGCATAACATAAAACCTCTTAAGCAGTGAATATAGAACTTTTTGTACTTCCATTCTCCTACTTTGAGAATGAAATGAAGATACTTCCATTTTATGATGGAAGTGCAAACACTGAATTTAGTGCTGCTCTTTGAATTCTAGATTTCAAATTCATACTGCAGCCTCCCAGGCACCTTTGAACTGAGTTGGACATGCATAGAAGCTAATGTGGGCTTTGGTATCCCAAGAACCTTGGCTTCTGTCCATCCAGATTTTGAGATCTTCTGGCTGTGCAGACATCCTTGGGAGGAAAGTATTGAGAAAGGTTGGGTAAGTGGGAAGCAAGAAGTTCTTCCATTCCAAAAGGACTGGGAACTTGCACACATGTGTGGATTCTGAGGATGTGGAGTCACTCCATCACATTTTCTTCTCTCTCGTGATAGAACAGTGAAGTCATAACACAAACATGCATATGCAAATTTTATCAGAACCATGTTTAAGGATATGCTGTTTGAAAATCCTAACAATCAAAGAGCTTATTAGAAAGGAAGATATTCCATCGGGGAGGAAGGTGTGGAAAGAATAGACTGTACAGCATCAATACATGAACTGACGTCTTCAATTCTCTCTTTTCTCTTTGCCCCCACTCAGATACTGGAAGCTGGATCCCAGCAAAGTGTATTCTTGTGGCCCTAATGCTTGGGATACTGCAGTGCATGATGCCTCTGAGGAATACAAGCACCGTATGGTGAGGTGACTTCAGCACTCAGCTTGGAGTGCTCCCATACATGCAGAATTGGGAAAAATTAAAGTCCTTCTCTGAAAGGGTGATCTTGCCTTTGGCCAACAGAGTTTAACTGTGCTACTGAAGGTCATCACAATAGAGATTTAGATCTGCCCTTTAATTGTTAGATCCCTACATTGCAATCTTTGTAAAAAAAAAACAAAAAAAGGCAATCCATTGCATTCGGATACCCCTTTTATTTTACTTTTCCTTGTAGGATTCTTGTGGTTTTTTTTTAAGCAACTACCTGAAGCAGAAATTACTTTGTATGGCAATTAAGTGATGGTAAAAGTTTAATCTGATATAAATAATGCACAAAATCCCTGCCAAGGAGACAGAAAAGATTGAAAAATGAGCATAAGCCCCTGAACTCAGAGGATGACACTCACCTAATGCAGAGCAGGAGGAACGATGGAAGCCATCTTCACCTCCAGGCTTTTCCCGCTCTGTGTTTTTGCTGGATGTCTGTTTTTGGCCATCCAACTACAGCATCCCATAGGAGAAGCTGGAGGCATCCACATATCCTGGCCTTTTCAGTTTCCTCCTCTCGTTTCCTTCATTTGTTGCCATTGCACCCTGTACATGCCTCAGAGCTGAATGGTTAATGCTAGAGCTTATTTTCAAATGCTAATGTTATATTAAGTTGTAGCTGATCTCTTGCAAGTTTGTGTTTTATTATCTTGTTAAAGAAAGGAAGTCAAGGAAGGAGTTTAATTTGGATCAGGCAAGCTCAGTTCTAACACTTTCTAGTCAAGAGTCTTTAGCAAATATGAATTATGAATATTTCCATAGTATCTCCCATAGTATCCCCATGAACATACCAAATAAGGAGTCTGTTCATGAGAACAAATGATGTATTAATAGCATTAGGAGATCATGTAGAATAGCCTTCCCCAGGTGCTCTCCAGATATTTTAAACTATAAGTCTTAGGTGGCTGGGGATGCTGGAAATTGTAGACCACACATTTGGAGGGCACTACACTGGGGAAGTCTGGATAGAAAGATTCTTCCAGAAGTGCTGTACCTCTGTTACTTAAAGTATTAGAATCAGAGAATCGCAAAGTTGTTTACAGGAATGCATTTTTAAACGTTTGATCCAATTTGATTTACCACCTGTATCTCAGGACTCCCTGAATTTTTTTTAACCTCTCAATTCCTTGCTAGTTATAACTGATGAGACATTCTTGTCTATACCCGTGAAACAATTGTCACAGTAGTTTCATATACAATAATGTGGGAACAGAATGCTGGACTAAGTAAGCCTTTGGTTGGATCCAAAAGATGAACACAGGTTAATTTGGTTGATCACATCCTTGCTGTCAGAAGCGGCACATACACTATCACCTTTTCACACATAGGGGTTGTTCAGGCAGGGAATTGTCCTTGCATTATAACATGACACAGTCCCAGAGAGACTGTACATTATTTCTGTTAATGTATAAACTAGTCTCTGCTTATTTTCCTTCCCCAACCTTGCAGCAATGGACAGAGTCAAACTTGGTAAAGGATGGAGGGAACCTTACTTAGAGGAGAAGTTGAGTGTGTTTCTTTCTTTTCCATTTTTCTGTTAAGAACATAACCCAAAGTGTTTTGCATTTGACCAAGTGAAATACATCTTCACCTAGACATAATGGTTTCAAATTAAAGAGCGGGTCAGTCAGCCTTGATCTGGTACACCAACACTGCATGTTAAGAAGGCAGTAGAAGAACTTGAGGCATGAGATACAGCTGTCCTCAATTGTACGTCTTCTATCCCAGCACAACCTCTGCTGTGACAACTGCCACTCCCACGTAGCACTGGCCTTAAACCTCATGAGATACGACAACAGCACGTCCTGGAATATGGTCAAACTTTGCTTCCTTTCTTTGATATATGGCAAATATGTAAGGTGAGTAAAGCATTTGGGTTCTGTAAATGCCACTGTATGGGAGGAGAGGAGGACGAGACTTTGATCAAGGGTTGGGTTCTCCACTAAGCTTCTCCAGAATGTTATGCTCAAGTGCTTGCATCCCAGTGCATGTGAATTTCAAAACTGTTTGTCCTTTAAAAAAGAAAAAAAGTTGAGCCACTTGGGGAGCTGAAACATCTTCCCTGTATTTTGCCTGTCATGCAGTGTGGTCACAGAAGACATAGAAACTTGTGATGTGGTAGAAAGGTCACTCCTTCCCAAAAATGGGTTTTAGGGAGTCACATCTCTGCTTCTTTTCCACTTGTGGCTGGCTGATTTAAATGTTGCCTTTTGATAAATTATCCCTCAGAATTGTACTGCTAAACACACTGAACAAAACAACTCCCTCCCAAAAGTTTAGTTTAGCAGGGGTGGTGCAAAGGGGAGGAGGGAAGTGCAAGAGAAGCACATTCAGGTACATTAAGTGTACAGAGTGACTAGCTGGAGTTGTCCTCTCTGCTCGTATTGTGTGCAGAGCAGTGTCTGTGTGCAGCGTATGAGGGACAGGGACCCGTCCTGACAAGCCTACAGTCTTAAACACAATCAGGGCAGAGGAAGGAAGTGGATAAATGGGGAAGCAAATATGCAGTTGTTTCAGTTAGACGTGCTCAGGTTTGGTTGCTGGCTTTGTGCTGGGAAACACAGTTCCTCTCCTCTTTCCTTTACGAACTTCCCAAGGACCCTTTCCTGTTTCTGATCCTTCATGGTCTCATCATCTGTGCTTCATATGCTTGTACAGCCTCTTCTTTCTTAACTCTTTTTTCTTCTTCCTTGTAGCATAGGGGGCTTTGTGAAGACCTGGCTCCCCTTCATCCTCTTTTTGGGGATTATCCTGATAGTCAACTTGACTCTTCATTTGTCATGATGGATGACACCAGTGTCCCTGTTCCCCTTTTGAAGTCAGATGTTGAAAACGGTGGCTTTTCAACTCAATAAATCCCGGAGCAGCGTACCCTGGAAGCCCTTGGAAAAGACATTCGTTTGTGCTTTGTAACAACTCTTCCTTTACTCTTTCATCATTCTTGCCTTTGAACGTTCAGGGATTGGGGTGGGCAGGGGGAAAGCCCTGCACCTTGGCTCTCACCAAAGTTCCCTTGTGACTGAAGGTTCCTGTGTGAAAATAAGCACGGGCTTGGGTTTGCAAGCTGGCTCCGGGGCTTGTTGCAGAGTTCCCTGGTCTCTCATGAAGTGATCCCGGAACGTCCTTAATGGAAGTGGTGGTCAAGAGTGTCTCTGCATGGTGAGTGGGGGTGGAGAGGGTGTTCTGTTTGCTTGCACTTTGACTGGTAAATTGCTGCATTCTTGGCTGTACTCCTTTCCTACAGCTGGGTGCCTCGATATTGGCAACTTCACAACAGAAGGATGGCCACACTGCCCATGCACATTTGGAATGCTGTGCCTAAGATGTTAGCTTCACTGTCTGCTTTTGCAGATAGTCGTTTGGCACAGAGTGGGGCTTGCATCCTCTTGTTTGTTGCACAAAAGGTGCATGTTCTCATTCCTCTTTTTTTAATGTGATGTACTAGGAAACATTCTATTAAAAGCAGCTAGTTTTTCTCAATCTCCCACCAGCTCAAGCTGTCACTTGCACAGTTGTCAAAGGTGGCCTTGTGTGGTCCCTGCAAAGTTTTCTTTGAGAGATCTGTTAAGATAGTCTAGTTCTCTCGATTGAACCACAGTCTCCAAAGTTCTCTCTGTGTGTCTTTGTGTCAAAGAGGTACAGTCTGACAGTTAAATGATTTGGTTTTTATATAGATATGTGCTATACTGTGCCTTGGAAAAGACCGGAAGCATAAACCACATGAGGTAAATGCTTGGTTTTTCCCACCAAGTGTATTCAAGTTAGAAGCCCTGCTAGTACCGAGTCTCTGCTTGGAGGAAGAGAATAATTCATTCTAGGCCCATGTTCCCCAAACTGCTTCTAGGAAGCTTAGGAACAGTTGGGAATCCTGTGTGTTTACCACTTGCTGTCCATTTCTGGCTTCCAAACAGACCATTTTGGCCCATGGCCTTAACCATGTTCCAGTAAAAGAGGCAACCTCTTTTGCCTCCTCCTCTTTAACTGAAGGGAGCATTAAAGGTTGCTCTGCTCTTGTTCCTCCCCTTGCCCCTTCCCTGTGCTAATCGCCATCCACCCCCGTCCTCTTCACCACACCTCCTGGCATGCCAGTTGCTTTGTGCTGTGCTAAGGAGAGGCATTGTCTCATGCCCTACACCTGTGGTTGAGCAGATCCTCTCAGTGTCTTTGTTGCATTCAACCATTTTGAGCATGAACAAATGGCAGCTTTTGAGAGCCAATCAATAAACTTGAGGCTGGTTAGAGATCAGAGGTCTTACATCAAAGTGAATGCATGTGGCGTTTCCATCAAGCTATCCCTGAGCTGTTTCACGTACTCCCCAGCAGGGATTCTAGTTCTTATGGAAATAATAGACCAAGTCTATTGAATTGAGAAACTACACACACAATCCTTTTTGCTTTCATTTTTCCTCCCCCTTTCAGTGACTTGCCAAAAAGAGCTCCAGGAAGCCCAAATGATTCCCAGACCTCACACTCAAAGCCAACTTCCTTTCTACAGTAGCATCACTCTTAACTTGTCTTTTGAGTTAATTAAAAAGTGTTTTGCTGACATAATGAAACGATACCAGCATTGCCAAAATAGAAGGCTGGCAGTGGTAACAGAAAGAGCAGAGTTAGAAATAATATTCCTTCCCCCCCCCCCCACTCTGGCAACCTTTCGTTTTTCCATAATAGGTGTTCCAAGGTCTGTATTCTAGAACAAGCTGTTTGGTGATAAATTGACAAACCCGAAGAAGAAATTGAGGGGCAAAACAAAGACAGTTTAATGCAGCTGTGGGTCAAATGTGCTTTCCTGTTGATGGACCAAGGCTGCAGTGGCCAGGAAGGCTTAGCTTGTCTTGATCTCACTGGATTTTGAGTTGTCCTTAAGGGACGGCCATGATCGGCACAATGAGATGATGGAAAGCAGTTGTCCTATTTCGATCTCTGTAGCCCTCCTCGTCCCCTGATTAAAGGCCTTCTGCAGTAATTGCTTCAGTGGGTGTTGGTCATGGACTCGACACGGCACCCATGGCTGTCGTCGTGTCTGTAATGGTGGTGCTACTGAAAGAAGCTTCTGAAAAGGTATTGGCAAAACCATGTGAAAATGTGGGTGAAGCGGGACACACAGTGGAAGAATTGTACTCATGACATCTTCACTCTCAGCCCAAATAGTACAGCCAAGGGAAGGGCCCTCCTCTCCCAGCGCCTGCCGAATTAAGTGCCTGCCTTCAAACCATTGTGTTGCAGTTTACGGACGGTTTTTTGGACTGTCTTGTGAGTTAAAAACTCCTCTGTGGAAAGCATTCCTATGCAGGGATTTTAGAATAAGTGAGTCAGTCCTGACTTGCAGAGCAATGGGTTTGTTGGTGTCTGTACATGCATGTGCACACAGCCCTCGGCTGCAGATTCATGTCAAAAATGTACGGGGTGTGAAGCCACAGCAAGAAACTTGCACATCGTCTCGCCATATGCAATAATCTGCTTATTCGCACTGGTTTTCATACTCATGTCGGCATAGGAATGTCCTTCCTGTAAGCATTGTTGTGAGGTGCAATTTACTTCTCCAAGGTTTTATTCTTGACCTGTTACCTCCCACTTTGAGACACCCTGGCTGTGTATATATACATATATATAGGGGGGCACCTCTTTTCCATTCCCCTTTTGTTCAGACTGCTATTTCCCTAGCAGGGCTTCAGTGATCCCCCGCTTGGGGTTCCCCTGTCTCCCCCCACTTCTTTTCCCTTCACCGGTGATTTAGGCAGGTGGGCCTCTGTCCTTCAACTGGATTCGCCGGGGGTGCTGGGTTCCTTTGTACATACTGAACTCTGCTGCTGTGATTTCATAATCCTGATGATGGTGAGAAATAAATGCTTTTCTGTGAATGTCTCCAAGCAGCAGTGGCTTTATTGTTCTGGCCGTCTCCTTCCTTCTCTCCCACCCTCAAGCTGTTGGGTTCTGTATTTAAAACGAGTAAGAGATAGAAGGTTTCTTGACCGTGATTGAGTACCAAGGTGGGCAGACTTGATTCTTATACAATAAGTTTTGTTTTTCACTGAGGAACAAGGAACCTCTGAGTACATGATCGGCCTGGTTTGTGTCTCCAAAGCAAACATAAGCGTCCCCCCCCCCATTGTTACACTTTTAGAAACTGAAAATGTTTTTGTTAAGCTGAGTTTGTTGTACTTCAGACCTATCATGCGAAGGCAAGACTCATTGAGGGAGACAGTAATTTGATAGAAAGTCAAGGCAGGAGAAGAAAGACAAGACTAACTGTGAAATGGGTTAATTTCATAAACAAGCCACAGCTCAGGTCTACAAGAGCTGAGCAGGTTTGTCAAGGGCAGGCCGTACTGAAAGGGATTCATTCAAGGGTCAATTTGACAGAATGCAGCAAGTTACTCTATATATTCTGTTTTGCCTTCTGCCCACGCTTGACCAAATACACACATGGTTCCACCAGAGAAGAACTGGATATTATTTTTCACAAAGGTCAATATTATTGTAAGCCGCCCCGAGGCTTCGGCGAATGGGGCGGCATAAAAATGTTTTAATAAATAAAATAAAATAAAAATAAAAATTTTAGCATGGGTGTACTTAAAACCCATTACTTTTTCAAGTAGCCTGCTTCATTTTATTAGAAAGTGTTGCAGGGGAGTAGGGGAGACCCATGGAAAATTGATCCACGCTCATTGCTATCCAGTCGTTAAGTCCAAAATGTACTTTCTATTCTTGGGTATGGGAGAGTAAAGCAGTGTGGAACGGCTTCATTTTGTCCTTCAATCTGCAGGGGCCGCTTCCTTAAACAGTACAGTAGACTCTCGCCTATCTGGCTTGTGACTATCTGGCCTCCATACTATCCAGCCTAGTTAAAAAATAACTATCAATGAACAGTAAAATAAGCTTAAATAATTTTTGTAAGAATTAAGCCTACATTTTACGTTAATGTTTTGTTTATTTTAAAAGTGTATGTATTCATACTGTACAGTGTACATGATTTTTTTATTTTATTTATTAAAACATTTTTATGCCGCCCCATTCGCCGAAGCCTCGGGGCGGCTTACAACAAAAAATTAAAATAACATTTTAAAATATATACAGTAAAATACAAATATATAATATAAAACATACAATATAAAACATGATTTTTAATGTTTTGTATATTGTATGTATAGGTATAAAATATGATTGTATAAAACATACAATATAAAACAATATAAATACATGATTTTATGTTTCCTGCAATTAAGTTAGACATTATAAAATTTATCTTAATATGTGTACAATATTTTTATCCTTGGAATTCCTTTTTCTTTAATAAATTTTTAAAACGTACAGTACAGTACATAAACATTTATAAAGTACTGACCTGTACTAAGAGGTCAGAAAATATGAATAGGAGTGGGTTTAGTTATAAAAAGGGTGTTTTGAATGGTATGGGTGGAAGTGAGCATTTAAAAAACTCCGGCCTATCCGGCTTTTTTGTTATCCAGCCCTTCCGCCACATTAGGCCGGATAGTTGGGAGTCTCCTGTACAATCCTGCATCTTTCTGCTTAGGTATAAGTCCTATTAAATGGCCAGTGGGATTGTTGACTGCTTAATGGGACCCAAGTGTCCTCCTCAGAGTTAAGTCATTCGTGTGCTTTTGAAAGAAATCATGGTGAATAGAAGTACTATCCTAGCAATGGGGTGGGGGGGGGGGGGGGGGGGAGGAAAGCTGCAACCCAGAAGTTCCTTTCTTTCCTGGCATCTTTTTTCTTGGTAAGAAAAAAACGGATGGAAGAAGTAGTGAGAAAACGCAAGGTGGCTACAAATCAAAGATGGCTCTATCTGGACCTTCTGCAGAGTTCTGTGAATGGGGTGGAGTGATTGCCTGATAAGCTTTGTCTAGAAGCACCCCAACCTTTTGTTTTAGACCATTTTGTTCTATGAAAGCAGAGTAGCTGTTGCATTCTGTAACACAGCTCCCACTGTGTGAGAACAGCGTCTTTTTTTTTTTTTTTTCAAGACTCTGCTTTGGCTTAGAACGGCTTTCCAAAGAATCGGTTTTTATATAGTAAGAGCAAACTCATCCAAGCATGTGTGTGTTGTGGCACCAAAACAGTTCCATCCACACACGACGGGAGTCCCGCCAGATTGCGGCAACTACCGCATTTGCAAATTACAAAGAGGTGGGGGAGCCCGAAGGAGTGAAAGGACCCTCCAGATCAGCTCAGTGAGGGCAGGCATGCTCCGGCCTCAGCACGCTGAGTGCCTGTAGGGTGAGCTGATAGAAAACCAGCTGAAAGGGGGGGTTGGAATGGAGTCTCCCAAAAAGGGCAGGTCTGGCTGGGACAGGAGCAACACAAGCTGACGTTGTTGCAGGCCCCCCACATTTACAGTGATGTGTATTATTTCCGTATTGTGAACATGCAAGCCAGCCCTGCTCTCCTTTGGGCCCTTGTATTCATTCTGCAGGGAGGGGCCTAATGGCGTCTGTTCTCAAGGGAGCACTGAGAGGAAGAGAGTGGGCATTGATCCATGCCCAAAGATCACCGTTGTCATTTAATTGTGGCAAGCAAATAGAGCAAGCCAGCCTCCAGGAACGCATGGGTGCCCCTTGCCACAGCGCGGCCTAAGCCAAGTGTCGCGACAATCACGGCATTACTGAGTCCGATCTGGTTTGAAATGTCATACCCGTGACTGCTGAACGAGGAACCCAGGGAGCGTGGCCTGTGGGCTGATGTGGATGAGCAGCACCACCACATGCCTCCGTTACACAGAATCGGGGATGGTGGGAAACCAAGCGAGTCAAGCAGAGTGGCTTGATCTGCAGGCGCTTGGAGCCTTGAGGAATTAAGTCGCTTCTGAGTGCAGTACCAGCTGGAGAACAAGGCAAGAGGTATGGATGGGGCTTCAGAATGGAAAACCCGGATGGCTGGCACACGAATTGGCCATAGCACTGCATTGCATCGTGCAAGGCAATGGAAACCCACCATTATGCTCTCAGGTATTTTCTAGGTATGGCAGGACACACAACTGAAGATGGTCCAGCCTCCAGAAGAAGAGGAACAAGGAGGAGTACCCAGTTACTGCCTTCTCTTAAGTTGCCCAGCCTTAAAGACCACATTACCTCTTTCCCAACTTCTGCTACATCTGTGGCCCATTCCAAACCCTTGCAGAATGGAACGTGTAGTAGAAGGCAGCAGCTGAATTCTGGAATCGACCTTTTCTTGCAGCTGTGGGAGCTCCTACTTTTATTTTAATTGTTTGTATAAGCATCGTAGTGGTAGACTGTGGCTGCCCCCGCTCAACCCATGGCCCACTTGGAGTTTGGGAAGCTGCTGTGGGTGCCACTACAATGGCTAACGACACAGTGGCTGCTACATGGATCCAGCTAGTCAAAAGAGGTGGGTGAGAAGACTTGAGAGGCTCCAGGCTGGGAGGGAGGGAGAAATAGCGGAGCAAAGGAGTTGTGGAGAGAAGAAGTGAGGCTAGAAGACGGGATGATAAAGAGCTGGGTGGGAGAAAAAAAGCAAGGCGTGACGCTAGGGAAAGGAGGAACCTAGGGAGGAGGAAGGAAGAGGAATAGAAAAGCCATGCTCAATAGCCAAACCAGCGTATTTTCATATGTAGGCATCTTGCCATGGGTACATGCAAATCTACATACTATGGGGAAAAGCCACCATGGGTGCCACATTACGGATGCCTTTGCAAGTGCCATCCCATGGTACCCACAGGTCCTTGTGTTAGGGGCCCCTGCTTTATACTACTAGTGCAGAAGTGAGGAGAATAACAAGCAACCAGGAAGGACCCAGTTCTCACGAGGGTACTTCCCCTTGCCACGTAGAAAGGGCAAATTCAGTCGTAAGGACACCACCTCAGAAGATTCGAGTCTGAGAAGAGAAGTGGGTTCTTTGCACTGTCAGTCACTCCTGCATCGCCAGCTGCAAACCAGCTGTGACTCCACTGCCTTTTCTTCCCCTCCTTGCACTGACTGGTTTATATGTCAGGGGTCCCAGGTCAAGGAGAGCTCACAATGGCACAATAGCTTGGCTAATCTTAGCTGGCGGGCTCCATCCTTGAGACCCTGCGGCTTCTTTTATTAAAAATTCCTCACTGGACCTGCTGCCTCCTCCTGCTCCCCCTCCCCACCCTGGCTCCGAGGCTCAAATGTATTTGTGACTGCCGTTTCTACCTCCCCCTTTGCAGCCTTGATTTATTGCAAATGCTCGGTCGGTCTGTCTGGGTGCTGACTGGGGGAGGCACCAATGACCTCCAGACTGGATTACAACTCCCATCATCCCCAGACAAATGGATGGAGGTGTGGGTCTTGTATTCCAAGTCATTTGGAGGACACCAGCTTGCCTACCTCAGTGTTAGACTCCTGCACACTTTCTCCCTCGTTTCCCCAAATGTTAGACCAATTTGCTCTAGCCCTCAGAACCATTCTGGCTGCCCTTTGCTGCACCTTCTCCAGCCCTCTAATATCAGGTGCCTGCCCTGGACTCTCCATCGCAGGCAGCTGTTCTGCAAGCAGCATTTTCGTTTATCTCAGCGCTGCCAGCAGTGTGGGAAGCCGGCTAGCTTGCAGGCTTCAGGATGGGCCACAGAGCACTAAGAATGGGAGAATCTGTGATCCTCGAAATTGCCAGCATTCTCCAAGTTCCACCCTGGAACTCAGACATCCTCACTCCTCTTTTCAACTGCAGTCTGTTTTGTTGTCTTGTTTGCAGTTCAGATAAGACAAGTGCACACGTCGATACTCATTTTTTAAAATGTGCACCCAAATGCATACTTCTACTCCCTCTATAGATTAAAGTGTGAAAATGCATGTTTTAGAGGGAAACGGTAAGAAGCTGTGTTGAAGATTCAGCTGCTCTTCTGGTTAAGGGGAAGACATCAGGAG